CGGAATCTGAATCAGAATTGAAGTATGATATCTAGGGCACTGACTCCTATCCTATAATTATCTTGTTCTCTTTCAACTTATTAAGAAGGTCATTAGAGAGACTTCACAGTTCTCTCTCTTATACTTGACAGCCTTATCCTATCCACTGCGATCCTTCAGTTATAACATCAAACCCTCCCCTTAACACTAGCCTAACACTCGCCTTTTGCAAAGTGTTAGCCCGTCGAACAGGGCCGCGATGTTGAAGATCGCAGTAAGGAATAGAGAGAAAATTCCTTATAGTTTAGAAACATTGACTAGGATTTGTCCACCTGTCTAGATGCTCACACAACCCCCCAGACCGTAACACGACATTCGGGTCTCCTGGAGCTTGACGAGATGATGGTTTGGAACGTTTGAGAGTGGTTCCGGGTGTGTCTGATTTAAACGACCACTAAAGATCATCGTTGCCCAATCAGATTGCACATCGCTCACACCAAAATCTGGCTGGCTGAGCTGCTTGGCCCAAATTCAAATTCGCGAAGACAAATTCAACACCTCGCACACACTGTCGCCAGGCACACCACCAGTTGAGCACAACCCACCAGAAATATGCAAAAAGAAGTCCCATCGCTATTGGTCGAGATCAGATTGCCTGGATTTCGGGCGAGCGGGTGAGGAGATTTCGGAGCGTCGGGCACCTGGAATGCACGCGGTCCGCGATGAGTCAGCATCCAACAACACCTCTCCCCCCACCCAAACCAAGCCCAAGCCCAAGCCCAACCAAGACCAAGCCCAAGTTCAAAAGAGCGGCCAGTCCCAGCAGTAAAGCCACACCCATCCAGGAATTCTTACAGCAGCTTTTACACATCCACAATGGCTGCTCTCGCTAACGCTGCTGTGCTCCCCTCCACCTTCGTCGGGCAGAGCGCTGAGCTCGCCGCCAAGGTGAACAATGTCGAGGCCCGCGTGACGATGAGGAAGACCGCCAAGGCGGCTTCCAGCAGCGCCTTCTACGGCCCCGACCGCAACCTGTTCCTGGGCCCCTTCAGCTCCCCCCCGTCGTACCTCACCGGCGAGTACCCCGGCGACTACGGCTGGGACACGGCGGGTCTGTCCGCTGATCCCGAGACCTTCGCCAAGAACCGCGAGCTGGAGGTAAGCCACACCAGATTCATAACTAAACATTTGACCCCGATTTCCCTTTACAGAGATAAGAACGTTTTCCAGAATCGTTCATTTCGTTTTTGCGGCTTGCAATAGCAATCTTTCATATTGTTCTGCTCGTATCGTCACCAGCCCTGCTTCTCGAACCCGAGTTTTTTCTGTAATTGTTGATGATGCTTTCTAGCATCAGTCCACTGAATTGGTCCAGGCCGTTGTGCGGCCTGCATTAGCCTACTCGGGATCTCTTCATTCCTACCGTCACCATCTCCTGTTTTTCTTTCGTCTCGTCACCCTATCAGGTGATCCACGCTCGCTGGGCTCTGCTCGGCGCGCTCGGCTGCCTGACCCCTGAGCTGCTGGCCGGCAACGGCGTGAACTTCGGCGAGGCCGTGTGGTTCAAGGCCGGCGCGCAGATCTTCTCCGAGGGTGGCCTTGACTACCTGGGCAACCCCAGCCTGATCCACGCGCAGTCCATCCTGGCCATCTGGGCCACCCAGGTCATCCTCATGGGTGCCGTCGAGAGCTACCGCGTGGGTGGCCTTGAGGGCTTCCAGGAGGTTGAGGACCCCCTGTACCCCGGCGGTGCCTTCGACCCCCTGGGTCTGGCCGACGACCCCGATGCGCTTGCGGAGCTGAAGGTGAAGGAGCTGAAGAACGGCCGCCTCGCCATGGTGTCGATGTTCGGCTTCTTCGTGCAGGCCATCGTCACCGGCAAGGGCCCCCTGGAGAACCTGTCCGACCACCTGGCTGACCCCACCGTGAACAACGCGTGGGCCTATGCCACCAACTTCACCCCCGGTGCTTAGATAAATAAGCCCTGTACATTTTTTTCACTTTCATTAATAAAACGTAACTTCTCTATGCAACTAAATTACTTCTTGTTTTGCACCATTTACTCATGGGAGTCTGAAACAATATACCGTATTGTCATAGACGCATTGTTGACAGTAGCGGGTGGCATGTTACTTCCTCCAACGCGAATTATGCTCTATTGGAAGAGTTACAAGTCAAGATGATGACTTCGCAATATCGTTTTTTTTGTTTGTCTGGTGCCGCAAAGCGAGTCAGTGAAGAGCAAATAAGGTTTCTCAGACTGAAATTGGAGATGTCGCCAAGCTCACAAGTGAGAAGATTAACCTCAGAAGACGAGACATAGGTTTCCAGACTGCACCAGTTCGCTTAGCTTATCGCTGAGTTTGTGGTTGACTGTTCGCAAGTGCGGAAACTACATAGTTCACGACTGCCCACCATGAACCGCAAAGTAACGAACAGCAACGCACCAAGCCTTCCGCAAGTCAAAACTAATGTGATGTGTGCTCAGTTGCCCACCTCTGACGAGATAAGTGCTGTCATGGCGACTTGTCTGTGCACGTTGGAAATTGTTCGGGCTCTGACTTCTTGACTAAACGATACAATCACAGAACCAACCGCAATGTCACTCGGCTCCCTCATCCCAGCACACCCCACCCCAGCTTGCCTCATCCCACCACGCCCCATCCCACCACCGATACACCCGCCATAGGCACACCTCTAGGGAAGCTGAGTGATGTAGTATAAACCGTGCCCAACCCACACACACCCCAGAAAACATCCACTTCTGTTTGGTCTGACCCCACAATCGTCGTGTGGTCCACACTTGCTCCATTTTGGGTGAGGTGATGAAAGCGACGATGGGAAATCGAGCAGCATGCTCAACCAATTAGATTGCACGCCACGTCACAGGAAAAACGAAATCACCACATTTCATGGAAACGTGTTTCCTTGGCGTTCGCTTTGCTTCGCAGCATCGGCGAAGAACGTACTTTGTTCCACAGACTTTCATCGCACAGCCTAGCGAAACGACCGTGGTGCAACCACACCGACACCACAAAACAACATCAGATGGTAACCAACCAGGGTCCTCGCAATTGGTTGAGCCCTGATTGCGTGAATTTTGGGTGCTGAGGAAAGGAGATCTTCAGGCGTCAAGCGCGGTTCGTACTCAGATACCATCCAATCAGAACGCTCCTAGACCCACCCATGACTCCATCCAACCAGTTTCCCCACACGCAATTTTGGTTCATAAGTCGCTAGAGAATCGTTTCTCAGCAGAAGCAGAAGCTCAATTCCAGTTTACTTACAACACTCAAAACAGCTTCTCTTCCCAGCCCAGACATACAGCATGGCTGCTCTCGCTAACGCTGCTGTGCTCCCCTCCACCTTCGTCGGCCAGAGCGCTGAGCTCGCCGCCAAGGTGAACAATGTCGAGGCCCGCGTGACGATGAGGAAGACCGCCAAGGCGGCTTCCAGCAGCGCCTTCTACGGTCCCGACCGCAACCTGTTCCTGGGCCCGTTCTCTTCCCCCCCGTCGTACCTCACCGGCGAGTACCCCGGCGACTACGGCTGGGACACGGCGGGTCTGTCCGCTGATCCCGAGACCTTTGCCAAGAACCGCGAGCTTGAGGTAAGCCTACCAGATTTGCTAACGACACAAAGGAGGTACATTACGTACGCAAGAATATTCATCGCTAAAAGGACCAACCATGAGATGTTTCACCCTGTTAGTTTACAGAAATTACCAAATGCTATCATCTTTGCTGCTTTGCAACGCTCGCTATTTTAAGGTTCTGACGATTTTTTTCTCTTCCTTCACCTGTTTCTAAATCTTCAGGTGATCCACGCTCGGTGGGCTCTGCTCGGCGCGCTCGGCTGCCTGACCCCCGAGCTGCTGGCCGGCAACGGCGTGAACTTCGGCGAGGCCGTGTGGTTCAAGGCCGGCGCGCAGATCTTCTCCGAGGGTGGCTTGGACTACCTGGGCAACCCCAGTCTGATCCACGCGCAGTCCATCCTGGCCATCTGGGCCACCCAGGTCATCCTCATGGGTGCCGTCGAGAGCTACCGCGTGGGTGGCCTTGAGGGCTTCCAGGAGGTTGAGGACCCCCTGTACCCCGGCGGTGCCTTCGACCCCCTGGGTCTGGCCGACGACCCCGATGCGCTTGCGGAGCTGAAGGTGAAGGAGCTGAAGAACGGCCGCCTCGCCATGGTGTCGATGTTCGGCTTCTTCGTGCAGGCCATCGTCACCGGCAAGGGCCCCCTGGAGAACCTGTCCGACCACCTGGCTGACCCCACCGTGAACAACGCGTGGGCCTATGCCACCAACTTCACCCCCGGTGCTTAAATGCCGTAGTTGATGTGTCACCCTGTACATTTTCTTTGTTCAATATCGTAATACAATTTTGACTCCAAATCCGTGATATGTACGTAGTAACAACACCGAGAGTGATGGCCAAGCTCCTACGTGCTGCCACACTCTGTAGTCTGTAGTGAGAGACATCTCCTTGCCATGAACAAGCATGCAACCAAGATGCCAAGTGTAAGGTTCCCTAGGATGTTGGTTTCTGGGTTTGCCGTGCCCTAGGGGCTGTGGTGTTTCCAAGTTAGGTCTGGCCGACTGCCCTGAGGGTATTGTGGACTTGTTGCGAACAAGGGTCATGTCCAAGCTAGGCTCGTCGTGGAGGAGTGGCTCCGGACCGGTGGGCATTACACCCGTTACAGGTATAGCTCCTTCATGAGATAAATGCATCACAGGCAAGCCCTCTCGTATATGCTTAGCTACATTGCTTAGAACTATTATGATCTAGCCATGCTACCAACATGCTGCAACAATGATACAAGTATGCTCCTGCCATGCTACCAACATGCTGCAACAATGATACAAGTATGCTCTTGCCATGCTACCAACATGCTGCAACAATGATACAAGTATGCTCTTGCCATGCTACCAACATGGTGCGGCTGTGCTACAGCCATGCTGCAAGCATGCTGCAGCAATGATACAAGTACGGCATGCTTTAGCCAAGTTACAGAAAGCCATGCTACAGCCAAGCTCCCCATCCTGGAAACATGACGGCAAGGCGGTCGGGGTCCTGTGCGTCCTTGATCAGCTGCTGCACCTGGTAGCCGTAGAGCAAGGCATGGAGCAAAGCAGTGCAGCAAAGAAGTGGAGAGATGCATTGCAATGACGGGGAGCAGGGGTGAGGGGCCAAACAGAGATGCAGGCTGATGGCAATGAGAAGAGGTGAACAATGCTATACTTAGGAACATAGATGCACCCATTTTGACAGTTATATATGCTAGCTGCCCAACCTTTTCTACAATGCTTCCCCACCTACCTGGTCATGCTCGCCCACCTGCCCGGCCATGCTGCCCCACCTGCCTGGCCAGCCAGGCTATGCATCTCACCAACAGTTACATATGCCCCTTGCACTACCTACACGCTACCATGCTGCCCCACCTGCCTGGCCAGGCTACGCATCTCGCCGTCCTCAAAGCCGTCCAACTTCTGCTTGACTCGCAGCAGCGCTCTCGTGGACAGCTACATATGCTACTTGCATTACCTGCCCACTGCACCATCTGCCCCACCCTGCTGCCTCACCTGCCCAGCCAGGCTGCGCATCTCGCCGTCCTCAAAGCCGTCGAGCTTTTGCTTGACTCGCAGCAGTGCCCTCGTGGCCTCCTCGTTGCCCTCCATCGCTGCCCCGCTCTCCTCCTCCGTCCCCTCCTCCTCCATCGCCTCCTCACTCTCCTCCATCTGGGGACCCGTGCAGTGACACACAAACAGTGCCATGCGTGCAATGCCACGAGTGCAGAGCCACACATGCAGCGCCACGAGTGCAGAGCCACACATGCAGTGGAACGCGTGCAGTGCCACGGATTGAGAAATTACCAGACAGAGATTGAGACAGGTGGCATGGTAGCTTGGTAACAATGCACGAGCAAGTGGAAACTGGTGAGAGAAAAAGGGATCAGTGGAATGATACTCACTTGAGTGTAATGGAAAGGTGCAATGAGTGTGTAAGATGAGGGCAAGAAGGCACCTTCTGTCGATGCAGCGCCTTAAGCGGAGAGAGGGCCCACTTGTAAAGAGGATCATAGATGAACACCTACAGGGGCACCCAGGGCGCCGGTGGCATGCAGGATGGCAGGGGGACACATTCTTTGAATACCTCTTGTACCATATCCTGCATAAATCAACATGGTCTGGTAGCTATTGGCACCACTAGCCTCAATGATGGTCAGCAGCGCCTCCTTATTCTCTTGCATCACTGCCAGTACCGTCTCACAGCAGCGCTGACTAGCGTGGGTGCACTTGCTATTGTGACAGCAGCACTGACTAGCGTGGGTGCACTTGCTATTGTGACAGCAGCACTGACTAGCGTGGGTGCACATGTGACAGCAGCACTAACTAGCGTGGGTGCACTTGCTATTGTGGCAGCAGCACTGCCTAGCGTGGGTGCACTTGCTATTGTGGCAGCAGCACTGCCTAGCGTGGGTGCACTTGCTATTGTGGCAGCAGCACTGCCTAGAGTGGGTGCACTTGCTACTGTGACAGAAGCACTGACTAGCCTGGGTGCACTTGCTATTGTGACAGCAGCGCTGACTAGCCTGGGTGCACTTGCTATTGTGACAGCAGCGCTGACTAGCATGGGTGCACTTGCTATTGTGACAGGAGTGCTGACTAGCATGGGTGCACTTGCTATTGTGACAGCAGCGCTGCCTAGCGTGGGTGCACTTGCTATTGTGACAGCAGCGCTGACTAGCATGGGTGCACTTGCTATTGTGACAGCAGCGCTGACTAGCCTGGGTGCACTTGCTATTGTGACAGCAGCACTGCCTAGCGTGGGTGCACTTGCTATTGTGACAGCAGCGCTGACTAGCATGGGTGCACTTGCTATTGTGACAGCAGCGCTGACTAGCATGGGTGTACTTGCTATTGTGACAGCAGCACTGACTAGCATGGGTGCACTTGCTATTGTGACAGCAGAACTGACTAGCGTGGGTGCACTTGCTATTGTGACAGCAGCGCTGACTAGAATGGACGCACTGGCTACTGATCAGGGTCCTGCATCACTCACTCCACTCCACTCCACTCCACTCCACTCACCTCGATGATTGTCAGCAGTGCCTCCTTGTTCTCCCTCATCACCGCCAGCACCGTCTCACAGCAGCGCCGAAACACCCCCTCCACGCCGCTCACGCCCATGCCGTCTATGATGTCCCGCGTGAGGCGGAAGGGCACCTGGCATGAAGGTGTGGAGCACACGGGAGTGCGAGAGTGGTGTACATGAACCTCACCCCAAAGAATTGGTGAGTGCCCAGCTCCACCTCAGTGCCGTCCTCGCAGTCTGTGGCCACCACTGTGAGCTCCTCCTGCTCGCTGCACCCCTCCTCGGCCTCGTAGAACGCACGGCACATGACGAACGACGCCCAGCTGAGCCCGTCCTTCACGGAGGTTGGAATCACGTGGCGCACGATTATGGGTTCCTCGCGCTACCAGTGCTGCTGGATGTGCACCACGGCTGTTCATTGAGTGTCCAGCAGAACAACAAATATGCAGTATAGGTCAATCATCACTCCGAGTCATGAATGATTCACCTTCCACTTGAACTTGCCACTTTACTTTTGAAACACACCCCACCTCCGTATATGCTTCCACGCACTTAACAAACCCCAATAAATCTCCCTGAAATAACACTACTGATCAAAGCATCCACCTATCATTATCGGGCGACTTGAGCATGAGACCCTTCCTGAACGGAGGCAGAGGTCGATGCGCATTGTGCACCACCTCTGGTGACTTCACCACCCATAGTGAGTGCACCTAGCCTTCCAATCAACCTACATGCACACACTACACTTACAGCCACCCACCCATGCACACACTATACGTACAGCCACCCACCCACACACGCACCTTCTCAGGCGTCTTGAGCATGAGCCCCTGCTCGAACGCAATCCCCAAGTCGATGTGCACCACCTCTGCTGACCGCTCGTCCACCAGAATGTTCATCGCATGCCGGTCCCCCAGCCCCACCACGTACCCCACCTGCCATAGAGCACACGAGGCAGGACAGTTTGGGGCACAAGGGTTAGACACTTCACGTTCAAAACCGGGGTGAGGTGCTGCAGAATGTTCATCGCGTGCCAGTCCCCCAGCCCCTCCACATACCCCACCTGGTGTGATGCACACAAGGCAGGTCTGGGGGTGAACAATGGTTGCATGCTTCATTGCAGGGGTACCTTGTTCCACAAGGGTGAGGAGCTTCACAAGGGTGAGGAGCTTCACAAGGGTGAGAAGCTTCACAAGGGTGAGGAGCTTCACAAGGGTGAGGAGCTTCACAAGGGTGAGGAGCTTCACAAGGGTGAGGAGCTTCACGAGGGTGAGGAGCTTCACGAGGGTGAGGAGCTTCACGAGGGTGAGGAGCTTCACGAGGGTGAGGAGCTTCACGAGGGTGAGGAGCTTCACGAGGGTGAGGAGCTTCACGAGGGTGAGGAGCTTCACGAGGGTGAGGAGCTTCACGAGGGTGAGGAGCTTCACAAGGGTGAGGAGCTTCACGAGGGTGAGGAGCTTCACAAGGGTGAGGAGCTTCACAAGGGTGAGGAGCTTCACGAGGGTGAGGAGCTTCACAAGGGTGAGGAGCTTCACAAGGGTGAGGAGCTTCACGAGGGTGAGGAGCTTCACAAGGGTGAGGAGCTTCACAAGGGTGAGGAGCTTCACAAGGGTGAGGAGCTTCACAAGGGTGAGGAGCTTCACGAGGGTGAGGAGCTTCACGAGGGTGAGGAGCTTCACGAGGGTGAGGAGCTTCACGAGGGTGAGGAGCTTCACGAGGGTGAGGAGCTTCACGAGGGTGAGGAGCTTCACGAGGGTGAGGAGCTTCACGAGGGTGAGGAGCTTCACAAGGGTGAGGAGCTTCACGAGGGTGAGGAGCTTCACAAGGGTGAGGAGCTTCACGAGGGTGAGGAGCTTCACGAGGGTGAGGAGCTTCACAAGGGTGAGGAGCTTCACAAGGGTGAGGAGCTTCACAAGGGTGAGGAGCTTCACGAGGGTGAGGAGCTTCACGAGGGTGAGGAGCTTCACAAGGGTGAGGAGCTTCACGAGGGTGAGGAGCTTCACGAGGGTGAGGAGCTTCACAAGGGTGAGGAGCTTCACGAGGGTGAGGAGCTTCACGAGGGTGAGGAGCTTCACGAGGGTGAGGAGCTTCACAAGGGTGAGGAGCTTCACGAGGGTGAGGAGCTTCACAAGGGTGAGGAGCTTCACGAGGGTGAGGAGCTTCACGAGGGTGAGGAGCTTCAGGAGGGTGAGGAGCTTCAGGAGGGTGAGGAGCTTCAGGAGGGTGAGGAGCTTCAGGAGGGTGAGGAGCTTCAGGAGGGTGAGGAGCTTCAGGAGGGTGAGGAGCTTCAGGAGGGTGAGGAGCTTCAGGAGGGTGAGGAGCTTCAGGAGGGTGAGGAGCTTCAGGAGGGTGAGGAGCTTCACGAGGGTGAGGAGCTTCACGAGGGTGAGGAGCTTCACGAGGGTGAGGAGCTTCACGAGGGTGAGGAGCTTCACGAGGGTGAGGAGCTTCACGAGGGTGAGGAGCTTCACGAGGGTGAGGAGCTTCACGAGGGTGAGGAGCTTCACGAGGGTGAGGAGCTTCACGAGGGTGAGGAGCTTCACGAGGGTGAGGAGCTTCACGAGGGTGAGGAGCTTCACGAGGGTGAGGAGCTTCACGAGGGTGAGGAGCTTCACGAGGGTGAGGAGCTTCACGAGGGTGAGGAGCTTCACGAGGGTGAGGAGCTTCACGAGGGTGAGGAGCTTCACGAGGGTGAGGAGCTTCACGAGGGTGAGGAGCTTCACGAGGGTGAGGAGCTTCACGAGGGTGAGGAGCTTCACGAGGGTGAGGAGCTTCACGAGGGTGAGGAGCTTCACAAGGGTGAGGAGCTTCACGAGGGTGAGGAGCTTCACAAGGGTGAGAGGTGAGGGTTCAAAGGCTCATGTGGAAATGGGCAGGGTTAGGCGAGCCCTGTGCCCTGTGCTATGCACCGTGCCATTGAATGGCTCGCATGCAGCCTCGTGCATGCACTGTCATGCCATGGAGGTGGCATGACATGCGTACCATGCACTGTCACTTACCATGGAGGTGGCATGACATGCGTACCATGCAATGTCACTTACCATGGAGGTGGCATGACATGCGTACCATGCAATGTCACTTACCATGAAGGTGGCATGACATGCGTACCATGCACTGTCACGTACCATGGAGGTGGCATGACATGCGTACCATGCACTGTCACGTACCATGGAGGTGGCATGGCATGCGTACCATGCACTGTCATGTACCATGGAGGTGGCATGACATGCGTACCATGCACTGTCACGTACCATGGAGGTTGCAGCCACGCTGCGAGTGTATGTGAGGCGCCGGTCGAACCAGTTGGCAGGCAGCAGGAAGCGCTCCAGGAAGAAATGGCGCATCACAGGGCTGGAGAGCGGTGGACGGGGGTGCGGAGAGGTGGAAGGGGATGGAGAAGGTTCTAGGGATTTAGAGGGTGAACAGGTGGACAAGGGATGACACACCAACCGATGCGACCTACCTTCACATGAAACGGACGTAACACAAAGGTGAAGGGTAGGTGCTGAGTGTGAGGTGAGGAGAAAGGGGCTAACTGTGTGAGGAAAAGGAACCTTACTGGAAAAGGAACCTTACTGGAAGTTCTGAAGAACCTTGTCGAAGGCTTGCCGCTTGTCACTTTCCTGTGCATGGATGGATGCACATATGGGTAGTGGGGGACGAGGGACAAGCAAGGAATGAGGGCATGGAGGTTTCGAGGCAAAGAAAGGGTAGATTAAACAAAGCTATATTTGCAAGTAATCACGACGCTGCCGAATGAAGGCGTCGTGTATTGTCCCCCATCACTGTATTTTGGAGTCAAGATAAGCAAGGCAAGGCTAAGGTTCCACTGGCCCACGCTCAACCAGATCAAATGGATAGCATGAGCATGACTTCACATCCCATCTTACCCGCGCCATCACTTCACGGCACGTCGTGAATGGCCAATCAGAGCCCCCGTAGCGTGCGTGCGCCCCCCCCTTGCGAGTACTGGCCGCGTGGGTGGGGTGGGGAGAGAGGATGGGGCCGATGAGAGGATGGGGCCGATGAGAGGAGAGGAAATGCGAGCAGGCCATGGGGCAGAGAAAGTGGGGAAGAAGGGTCAGCAGGTGGAAAGCAGAAGGCGGTTGTAGGGTTGATACGGAGCGATGTGCGCTGCAAGGCATCTTGTTCACGCGTGGATGGATGGGCGTACATGCCAAGTGGTCTTTGAGAAGTCTTAAATGCGAAGTGGGAACACTTTGTTGTGCATGCAACACCACAACCTCAGGGTGAGTGCCTGCACGTGTGCACACAAGCCAGCCCGCCGCCACCCCTGCTGCATGTGCTTTAGCCTCGGTTCTCGTCCACGCACCTTCCTAGAAGGTACTCCCCAAGCGGCAGGGTGCCATCCACCCACTCGAGGAGTCCTGCACTGGGAGTGAATGGTACCACCTGGCACGCCATGGGGGGGCGGCAGGGGGAGGGGGGAGGAGCAGAGGAAGGCGAAGGAAGGTGTTAGTTTCAGTCGAATCAAAAGTCACCTGCGCTGGGAGTGAATGGCACCACCTGAGAGGACAGGCAGGGAGGGGAGAGAGGGGCGGCGAGAGCGGGGATGCAGTTGGGGCAGGAGCAGGAATGATAGGTGCGAGGTGGTAAGAGGAGGTGGGCGAATGGCAGAGGTGGTGATTGGAGTCGAATGGGAGAGAGGCATGCAGTCTGTTGTTGCTGACGTGACCCATGCCACCCGTGCGACCCGTGCGACCCGTGCGACCCGTGCGACCCGTGCGACCCGTGCGACCCATGCGACCCATGCAACCCATGTGCCTCCTGCAGGGACGCACCTTGTAGGTGCGGATGGCGAGGTGGCGCCTGGTGGCCCCCTTGTGGGCTTGCAGCCGCGAGTTCACCAGCCCGAACAGCTGCTCCATCACCTGGTGTGGCGCGCTGGGGAGAGGTGGGGAGAGGTGGGGAGAGGGGGGGAGTGGTGGGGAGAGAAGAGGTTGGGGAGATTGGGATGAATAAGAGAGTTTACCAGCCCGAACAGCTGCTCCATCACCTGGTGGGGCGCGGTGGGAAGAGGTGGGGAGAGATGGGAAGTGGGGAGAGAGGGGGGCCGAAGAAGAGAGTGGGGAAGTCAAAGAGTTCACGAGCCGCAACAGCTGCTCCATCACTGGTGGGGCGCCGTGGCAGTGGGGAGAGAGGGCGGGTGAGGAACAAAGAACATAATCAGAGGGGAGAGAGGGCGGGTGAGGAACAAAGAACATAATCAGAGGGGAGAGAGGGCGGGTGAGGAACAAAGAATATAATCAGAGGGGAGAGAGGGCGGGTGAGGAGCAAAGAACATAATCAGAGGGGAGAGAGGGCGGGTGAAGAGCAAAGAACATAATCAGAGGGGAGAGAGGGCGGGTGAGGAGCAAAGAACATAATCAGAGGGGAGAGAGGGCGGGTGAAGAGCAAAGAACATAATCAGAGGGGAGAGAGGGCGGGTGAGGAACAAAGAACATAATCAGAGGGGAGAGAGGGCGGGTGAGGAGCAAAGAACATAATCAGAGGGGAGAGAGGGCGGGTGAAGAGCAAAGAACATAATCAGAGGGGAGAGAGGGCGGGTGAGGAGCAAAGAACATAATCAGAGGGGAGAGAGGGCGGGTGAGGAGCAAAGAACATAATCAGAGGGGAGAGAGGGCGGGTGAGGAGCAAAGAACATAATCAGAGGGAGGGCTGAAAGAAGCGACCCACAGCGTCCTGGCGCAGGTCATCATTGCCCGACTTGGCGAGCTGCTTGTACACACGGCCGTCCGACGCCATAAGGGGCGTACCGTAAGGGGGACGTTCGGGGGGGAGGAGGAGGAGGAAATCAGCGTGCTTGATGTGCGAATGGATGACCGTCCGACCCCATGCACTCCACCACCTTGAGTGCGTTCACTTTGTGTATCACCCTGGTGGGACAGAGCAGTTGGGCTGGAACAGGGAGGAGTTACGTGGAGGAAAGAGCAGGGCAGCGTGCTTGCTTGGAAAGGCATGGCCGTACAGGCACATACACTCCATAAAGGCATGGCCGTACAGGCACATACACTCCATAAAGGCATGGCCGTACAGGCACATACACTCCACCAACTTGGATGCATTCACAGTGTATCAGCTTGGTGTGACAGGCCGTGGGGAAAGGGAGGGGGGGATGAGGATGAGGATGAGGAGGAGGAGGAGGAGGAGGAGGAGGAGGAGGAGGAGGAGGAGGAGGAGGAGGAGGAGGAGGAAGAGGAGGAGGAGGAGGAGGAGGAGGAGGAGGAGGAGGAGGAGGAGGAAGAAGAAGAAGAAGAAGAAGAAGAAGAAGAAGAAGAAGAAGAAGAAGAAGAAGAAGAAGAAGAAGAAGAAGAAGAAGAAGAAGAAGAAGAAGAAGAAGAAGAAGAAGAAGAAGAAGAAGAAGAAGAAGAAGAAGAAGAAGAAGAAGAAGAAGAAGAAGAAGAAGCAGTGCAAGCTGTGCGTTAGTGCAAGCAGCGCGGTAGCTGGAATTGAGCGAGCGGAGGTGAGTAATCAAGTCAGCAGTGCGCTTAAACGAGGCAAGGTCAGGAAATAGGAACAGAAGGAACAGGCGACCAAGAGAGACTGTGGTGGGAGTAGCGTAGCGGGCCTTGATCACAGTCAGGAACCCACTAACCGTGTGAATCTGAGTAAAGTGGGTCTTCTCAAACTTAAGGAAGAGGTTGTTGAGGGCAATGCAGGCCGCAACGTCACGCGACTTTCATGCCGTTACATCAGCACGTCCGCGTGCATAATGATTGCTAGTTGTATCATTGGGGGCAGTGCCTAAAGGCGTAGGGCCGTCGGGCGTAGGAAGGATACCGGAAGCGTGCGTCCACAGAGACTCGCCTACCTGGACCTGACTCTCGAGGTTGCGCTACGCACGCAGGAGCCAGACAACTCGAGCAGCCTACCGTCGGCGTCAAAGCGCAGTATAGCTGAAACCCTAAATTCTTTAAGGAGCTTGAGAGGGGTATGAGAGGTAGTGCAACAAGCTTAGTGCACTATAGAATGTTACGGTAGGGCGCGGTAAGCAGGATAGGCAGCACGAGGCGACGGGCGCGGCTCGGCTAGACGGGACGGGCAGGAAGGCGTGGCTCGGCAGGACAGGACGTCTTGCGGCGCGGTGGGACGAGCTGGGCGCAGGTTAACGGGTCGAGCTGGGGCAGCGTGGCGAGACGGGCTGGCGGGGCGCTGGCGACGCAATGGGCTGGGCGCACACGGCGCGACGAACGGGGGGGAGCGCGACGGACAGGACGGACAGGGGGGAGTGCGACGGACGCGACGGACAGGGGGGAGCGTGACGGATGGGACGGACTGGGGGGAGCGCGACGGACGGGACGGACAGGGGGGAGCGCGACGTGAGGGACGGGACGGGCCAAGGGGGGGTGGGGGGGGGGGGGGGGGGGGGGGTACGCGACGGACGGAACGGAAAGGACGGGACGCAACAGACGGGACGGACGGGATGGGCACGACGCGACCGGCAAGGCGCGCGGAGCGCGACAGACGGACAGGGCGCAGCGGGGGGCGCCACGGTAGGAACGGGACGCGATGCGCAGGACGGGATGTGCGGGACAAGCGGAACGCACGACGGGCGGCGCAGCAGGCGCTAGGGCACGTGAGAGATGACGTGAGAGGTGCTAAGGGATAGTACGGGCGTGACTAGCACTAAGGTAAGGGGCAGGCTCGGGCGTGACAAAGGTAATCAAGAGGAACGGGATCCCACAGGATCCTAACCTAGCTGATACCATATCAAGAATGAAAGTGTTCCATTCAGAATGTTGGTTGGGATACATAAACCTAACCCTGAGAGTTGTACCTCCTATGACACACATCACTAAAGCTACAACATTTAACATACATCTACCAACTCGAGCCTATCGGTCCTATATCGTGGCAGTGAAGCAAGCAAGAGCTAATTGCTCTCTCCTCAGCTGAAGCAAAATACATCGCACTCTGCTCAGCCACCAAGGAAGGACTGTACCTTTGCAAACTACTAGAAGAAGCAAAGCTGGCCCAGTTGCCCAACTTCTCCCTCTTCTGCGACAACCAATCAGCAATTCGCATAGCAAACAAGAACGGGTTCGCGAATCGAACGAAGCACATCGCCCTGCGATGCTTCTTCGTGAAGGACGAAATCTAAAAGGGAAGACTCGAGCTATCATACCGTCCCACATCTAAAATGGCAGCAGATTACTTGACCAAGAAACTCGGAAAGCAAAAGTTCGAGTACAGCATGCTGCTGACTGGACAAGGTCACGTCACCAGCGACGACACTCCAGAAGCGAAGGGGAGTGAAGGTAACATGTAGTTTGCACTAAAATGTAAGCAAGGCAGATCATAGTGAAGCAACAGCGAGTCAACCAAAGAGGTTGACAAAAGGTAGCAGCAAGGAGGTTAAGCGAAGGTCAAAGGTCAGCGACCTTTGACTCACCGAAAGTCAGCGCGATAGCAAGGACAGACAATTGACTCGTTATTGAGCAGTTGCCCGAGTCGCAGCCGTATCGAATCGCAACAGCAACAGCAACTGCTAGTTATGTCTTTAAATTATATAAAGCCTTGTATTACTTAGCTATTTTTAATCTATCTTGCTCTCACACACTAGTGCAAGGTGGTTCAACCAGTTCATTACAACGCTTCCGCAATCACATGATCACCCCGAGTCTTAGCCTTGAATGATTCTAAGGGCTTTCTCAGCCCAACAGCGCAACAGCCCGCGGGGCAGGGCAGGGCAGGGCAGTCCGACAGCACATGGGGCAGGGCAGGGCAGTGCGACAGCGCGCGGGGCAGGGAAGGGCACGGCGCTAGCGCAAGGCAGGGCAGCGGACAGCGCGAGGCAGGGCAGGGCATGGTAGCTTGCGACGGCAGCAGTACATGGGGCACAGCTTACGGTGGGCCCTAACAAAAACCGGTCTTACATCAGGACCTTATTTGAAACCATGTTTAGACACCTACGGGGCTCTAAATTGAAGGATACGGTAGATGTTGAATAGAAAAGTCCCACTCAAGGTAAAAAATCAGGTTTTCTCCATATTGAAAGCCTACTACCGACTAGGTTTCTTAGGTTCAGAACAGAAAAAACGATATACACCGCAAGCACAAGCCCATAGACAGTAACCCAAATGGCTATATTGTCTACACTAAGATACAGACATGATGAGCCTGAGATACAACCAACAAAGCAAAGCCCATTTTTATTTAGAAAAGCAGTGGGCATGCACCCACGTAATTCATTCGTGTTTTGCTTGAGAAAGTAGCACCCAGCAAAGTCTTGATGATGAGCCTGCTGAATTTCAAGGATATGGTGTTGCTACCCGGCTTTACCTTATCCGGCCCTTAGCTGGTGCCCCTTCTGCCTCTGCACCAAAAGGGAAAGTGTAGAGGAATAGGATGAAAACACAATGGGCAGATGGTCAAAGCATGTCTGCTCAAGACATATGGGGAAAGAGCAATGAACCAGGGTGGAAAAACATGCGGTTACCTGCCGATATCTGCAGGCGGTTGGGAACATTGACACACAAACTCACCATTCTTGCTGAATCGACGAGCCCCCCATGCGGCGAGTTTGAATGATTGTGCGCTCCTGAGGCAATCCAATCTGGGGCAATCCGATGCAGCTGTTGCTCCTCATCACGTATCCATTCTTGCAGCGACACATAGGCGTGCCGGCCACCACTGCACACTCGGCATTGCGAGGGCAGGTGGGCTTGCACAAAGCTGCAAAACATGAAAAGGGAGATTACAGGAGAGGGAGGAGAGAGGAAAGTGCAGAGTGTTGAGGTGCCACAAACACGTCTCAAACATATGAAATGCCGCAGGAGCAAAGTAAGAGAACTGCACTTATAGCTGAGCATTGCCTGCCCGCTCCCTTACCAGTACAGAGATTGTTCTTCTTGACGTAGCCAGGGCTACACTTGCAGCTCCCTGTACCGTTCTTCACCAGGCAAAACCCATTTGCTGGACACGTAATTGTTGCACAGGGGTCCCGGGCTGGCAGGGGTTCTGAGGGGAGAAGCAAGAAAGGGAGAGAGACAAGAGCGTGAGAAGGAAGAGGGACAGAAGCATGAGTGAGAGACAAGACAAGAGGATGAGACGGAAGAGGGAGAAAACGAGCAGCAGTATTATATGGTATATTCAATGAAGGTCCATTCCAAGAGGAAGACAAGGAAGAGGGAGAAGGAGAAGCTGTAAAGAGCTAGTATTGGAAGAGAAGCAGGTTGTAGGGTGGCAGTGGTGACTACTGAGA